GGGGCTGCAAAAGAGGAGATACAAATGTTGGGGGAGGTTAATAGATTAGTATCAGATCCCACCTCCCCACCCCACCCCGCTCATCTTACTTCTCTCTACCCATCTTTTAGCTATTGTATCTTGTATTTTTATATGTTTATAGTATTTTATAGTATTTTATACAGTTTTATATTTTTAATATTGTAAGCTGCACAGTTACCCTATGGTAAGATGGGCAACCAATAAATTAAAACAAATAAACAAACAAATAAATAATCTTCACCATCTCTTCTGGGAGGCCACATTAATGATCTGTGGCCAGAGGAATGCTTGGGAATGTGTGAATGTACAGTTTTACTAGGGGCATACAATCACTGATATAATATATGGTGGCATTCAAACAGTAGTGCACTATAAGTACAGTGAGGGCTAAATAATATGCTGAACTGTTAGTTAGAAAATCTTTTTCGAGGGCAGGACATCATAGACTTTGGTGCATCTCAGAGACAAGACTAAATTGAACTAACTAGAAGAAGAGAGTGGAGAAAGGGGGGAAAATATTTTGCCCTCTCTCAAAGTAAGGGACTTAACTTATACAAGGCACTTCAGCAGAAGGATTCCAAGAAAGATTCCTGAATATCAAGGTTAATCATCAGGAGTGGCTGACTTCCACAAGATCTTGGATTGTTTCCCAGTCAGAGATCCAAGCCAAAATGCCAGAATAAAATAAGTAGTTTATTTGAGCTGAAATCATTCTGTTGGTGTGAGTCTCCGAGTGTGACAGTAATCAATAGCAGAACAAAATAATAAAATAATTACAGAAAGGATATTTGAGGCTCATCAGGGAGAGTGACATCTTACTTGCTTATGGAATCATGCAATCATAAACTTAGAAAGGGCTGGTTAAGCTGTTGAGTCCTCCCCACATACAACCACAGAGCTCACTAACAGAATCCAATTTAAAGCACCCTTATCAACTGTCTCTTAACATCACCAGCAAAGTGGGCCTACTAGCTCACAGATAAATGCTTACATTCCACTGATCACAACATTAGAAAGTTTTTCCCCTTAACATTCATTAATTTTCCTAGTACAGGTAATCTTCAACTTAGAACAGTTCGTTTAGTGACTGAAGTTACAACAGCACTGAAAAAAGTGACATGACCGTTTGTTCACACTTTACATCTTTATGGTCACACGATCAAAATTCAGATGCTTGTCATATTTATGACAGTTGCAGTGTCCTGCGGTCATGTGATCACCTTTTGCGATCTTCTGACAAGCAAAGTCAATGGGGAAGCCAGATTCACTTAACAACCATGTTACTAACGTAACAAAAGTGATTCACTTAACAACTTTGGTAAGAAAGATGGTAAAATAGGGCAAAACTCACTTAACAACTGTCCTGCTTAGTAACAGACATTTTGGGCTCAACTGTGGTCGTAAGTTGAGAATTACTTGTATTTCAGGAAATCACAGAACATCTAACATTTATACTAAGTTTCTGATCAGAGCATTCTGTGGCACATTAAAGACCGACAGCCTTTCATCACTAAGGATTCTTAGTGTAACTAAACACTTGCTATCCCAAAATAAGAATGGAAGAATATTTTGGGTGCTGACTGGGTCCTGACTTTCTAAAATTTAGGATTTTCCTAGGGATTGTACCAATGACTAATCAAGTTTGGTCTGTTCATCTGTTTCACAGCTTCTTGAAAAGGAAAAGAGGAAGAGGGATAGGTGCAGCATTTACTAATGTTATGGATCTGTGGTGGCTTTAGTAGAAAAACTATTTAAACAAATGACAATTAGATTGTTTAGGCCAACATTCTCTGACTAAGGAGCCCAACAGTAGTTCTTTGTACCATGTCCTAGTGATGGTCAAATAATTATAATGTGAAACAATAATTCTTTAAAATATAAGATGAGAGGAGAATCCATTGTTTACAAAAGTTAGTGTTCTAGAATTTGTTAGTCTTTAAAGGGCTAAAAATTCTAGATTTGCCGCAATGGACAAAATAAAGGCCTCTGTAGATCCTGAATATGTATGGCCTAAATATTTTGGTTTTATTTTCATTTCCAGATGTTCATTAAATTGAGAAATTCCACTTAAAGGGCTAAAATTCCCTGATTCTAATGTGGGCTATTAAACAACTAGTATTAAAAGTCAAATTATACAAACAAATGAAGATTTTTTCCCCCCACACATTTCTATATGCATCTAAGGAATTAGGAAAGTCCATCTCAAGTGATGCCCTGTGACATGTCTTAAATGCACTTCTTCGACCAATCGTGTACAGTATTCAGAAGAAAGTCCTATTCAAATATCTTCTGTATTATATGTTTACTTCTAAGAAGGGCTACAGATTGATTAAAGGATTTGTTTGTTTGTTTGTTTGTTTTAGAGTGAAATTGTAGCAGGCTTGCACTGAACAAGTAAATTACCCATAGAATAAGGCTTCAGCAGCCTTTTTCTGAAATGCAATTAGCCTTATATCCATACCAGAAGCCCATAGTTTAATGAAAAAAGATTTAGCAATCCTGATACAAGTAGTCCTTTACTTACAATCATTTATTTAGTGACCATTCAAAGTTGCAGTACCACTGAAAAAAGCATCTCATGACTGCTCCTCGCATTTAAAACCTATAAAGTCAAGTGATCAAAATTCATTTGCTTGACAACCTGCATGTATTTATGAGGATTGCAGTGTCTTCATTGGCTTCCGAAAGCAATGTCAATTGAGGAAGCTGGATTTGGTTAATGACCAAGTGATTCATTTAACAACCTCAGTGATTCGCTTAACAACCATGGCAAAAAAAATCACAAAATTGGGTGTTACTTAACAACTGCTTTGCTTAGCAACACAAACTGCGTTCCCAATTGTGACCACAAGTGAAACCAGCCACCGATAAACTGAAGTTTAAACAAGAGGAACAGCAATGGGTGGAGGTCACAAGGCATCTACCCAGGGGTAGGCAACCTTGGGTCTTTTATGACTCGTGGACTTCAACTCCCAGAATTCCTGAGCCAGCCATGCTGGTTCAGGAATTCTGGGAGTTGAAGTCTACGAGTCATAAAAGACCCAAGGTTGCCTACCCCTGGACTAGTCTGTGGCGCAGCCTATTCCCTTTTGCTGAGAAAAGCTCCTTTTCTGAAGTGTGGCATTAGGGAAACTTTGAACAATATGAGATGGAAGAGACCAGTGCCTTTCATTATGCAAAAATACAACACACCCATGCTCTGCTCTTAAAGTACAAACACATATTGTGTCTCTGGGTCTGTTTTTTTCTGCTTTGAGCAGCCTCCTCTTTTCCAACCACTGGTTCCATTTTTGGCACACTCTTCTTTCTCCCAGTTTGAAAAGGAAAGCAGAATGGAGAGGTGCCCCTTCTGCTTGGTCTTGAAGAGCCGCGCTTGGCATGGTGGAGGAGGGCGAAGGCTGTGGGACAGACCCGCTTCCTCTCTCTCTCAGCGCAGCCCTGGGGCCTAATGAGTTGTCCGAAGGAAGCAGGTTCCAGCGCGCGTGGCTAAGGGGACGCTCTGATTGGCCAGCTGCGCCTCGCGACCCCCATTCATTAATAAATTAGCGGCACGCTCCAGCCGAGCGCAAGGCACCAATCACACCCCAGAACGGTCCCGGTTGCCAACACACTTTTCGGAGGGTCAGATAAAGGGAAAGGAGGAGGGAGGAGAAAGAGGAGCACGCACACACGCAAACCCTAAAAAAAAGAAAGAAAAGAGATGAGCGATGATAATGAAATGAAAAGGAAAGCTAAACCTGGGGAGGGGGGGGAGCCGAGGAGGCCCTGGGGGTACATTTGATTGTTTTCCATGGGGTATATAAGGGGTTTTAAGTAGAGTCGTGTGCCAGACACGCAGCCCCAGAAACACAAGCAGCTTCGCTTTAACTGGAGGGTCCAGGCGCGTGCCAGCCGCTTTCCCCCACTGAGCTGCCCTGTTTCTTTACACACACGCAGGCCGGCGGCGACGGGCCATAGAACCAGCCCTTTAGAGACATTTCCCCCCCCCCCCCAATACACACACACACACACCGAACAAGGCGCCTTGGACCCACACCAACACCCGGCCACGGTGGGACCTTCTCCAGCAACCGAGAGGGAACGGCGCGGGGCCAAGCTGAACCCTGAAGGTCGCCCCAAGGGGCGGTGCGGAACGAGACAGGAGCAGCCAGCCACGTCTTCGGGCCAAAAAAAGGGGGCCGAGCGACAAACAATTCGGTTCCTTCCAAAAGAGCCAAGTAAGTTTCCGATTTTCCCTCTCTTTCCCCCCTTTTTTTTTTTTTGAGGCGAACTTGGGTTGGCTGAAAGCTGTTGTCGGAGCGGCAGCCGAAACTCCCGCTTAGCGCTTAGGCGCAACCGCAGTGGCGGCTCTCTCTGCCTCCCCTCCCGGCCGCGGAGGGTTGGTAGGAAGGCCAAGGCGCGGCTCGCTCCAAAGGCGACGCAGCGGGTTTCTGCCATGCCTTGCCGAGCGGAGGGCTGGAAGCGCCCCTTCGGTTAGTCCAGGGGTAGGCAACCTCGGCTCTTTTATGACTCGTGGACTTCAACTCCCAGAATTCCTGAGCCAGCCATGCTGGCTCAGGAATTCTGGGAGTTGAAGTCCACGAGTCATAAAAGAGCCGAGGTTGCCTATCCCTGGGTTAGTCCATACTCAAGTACATGAAACCTTCCAAGCAAACCCGAGGCAGCGAAGCGTAGACTACAAAGCTCTTAGGAGCTAGCGGAGTCTAGCCCTTAGCTTCGCGTGGACCTGAGCGTCGATGCGCATCGCCGTTACATTGGTTGTCTACCGGTGTTCCTCACGTGCACTAAAGACGAGGCCAGGCCTCTCAGGCAGCTTTCCCTCTTTTGTAAGAACGGGCCCATCCACGCCTGGGTGCCTCTTACACGCGACGGGTTTGTCGGAGCGTTCTGAGTGGGGCCGGAGGGGGTTGTCCCGGCAGGAGCTCCAACCGCCTTTCCTCAACATGACGGCTTGTCTGCTTTTGTGTTCTTCTTGCAGGATGTTCGGGCAGCCAGAGACGCTGGGAGTGAAGGAGGAAGAGGGGCTCCTTGACACCCGGTCCTTGCCTTCTTCCTCGTCGTCTTCCTCCCCCTCCTCATCCTCATCCTCCTCTCTCGCCCCTTTCTCGTCAGGCTCCGAGGGGGAGGACGACGTGGAAGAAGAGCCGTCCCGCGTCCTGTCCCCCCCGGGGTCGGCGCCCGAGGTGGCCGTAAAAGCGGCGGAGCACGCGCGCCTGCCCCTCCTCGGCTTGAGGCGGCACGACTGCAAGAGGCGCTCCGGCCGGGCGCGAAACGCCTCCCGCCTCGCCAAGACGACCGAGACGGTCCAACGGCTCAAGAAGAGCCGCCGCCTGAAGGCCAACAACCGCGAGCGGAACCGGATGCACAACCTGAACGCGGCGCTGGATTCCCTGCGGGAGGTGCTGCCCACCTTCCCGGAGGACGCCAAACTGACCAAGATCGAGACGCTTCGCTTCGCTCACAACTACATTTGGGCGCTCACCGAGACCCTCCGCTTGGCCGACCATTGCGGAGGCGGCGGAGCGGCTGCTGCCGCCGCTGCTGCCGCCGCCGCTGCCGCCTTCTCCGAGGCAGTGCTGGGAAGTATTAGCGGAGGCGGCGGCAGCAGCAGCATTTCTCCAGCCGCCTCCTCGGGTTCCTGGAGCTGCACCACGAGCCCCGCTCCTTCGGCCGCCTCCTCCGCTTACAGCTGTACTTTGTCGCCCTCCAGCCCCGGCAGCTCCGTCTCAGAGTTGGACTTTTGGCAATCGGAAAATCCCGGCTATGTGCTGTCCAGGGATTTAATCTGACGCCCGTTTGCTTCCCACTCGTCCCTTCCCGCGTGGGCCGGAGGGTGGATAGACGGACGTAGCCCACCGGTAGCGGAGGTCCCATGAGTCGATTCCCAGGGAAGATTAGCCGTTCGCCGGAGCGGGCCGGGGCGCCCAGCAAGCAGCGCTTGAGGCTAAAGTATTAAGGTGGAGCGCCTGATCCCCTGGGACGCTGACTGCGGTCCTCCGCCGGCCCTTTGTAGGGCCCTGAACGCTTTGAGTGTCTTCCTGTCCCCCGCACGATCCCTTCGACGTTAGCGGTCTGGCCCTGGTGGCATCTGCTTGTTTCCCACTGCCTGCCTGGCGGCTGTGGGAATTACACCTGTCAAACCAAACTTTCTGTCACTGTGATGTGCACTTTCCCACAATGTCTTTTGTTCTTTCTCTCTCTCTGCCTCCCCCGCTCACGGCGACATAGATACCTCTTATTCCTAGCGCTCCCTCTGCTTTTACCCAGTCGTCTCCTATGATTTATGCGGAGTGAAAAGGAGAGAAAACGAAAAGCAGGAGGCTGGTTTTGTTTATCTGTTGATTTTGCTTGTTTAGACAGAGCTGCCGTAAAAGGCACCCCATAATTTGTAGGCATTATCCTGATTAAACGCAAGCGTGGAAATTATTTTTTTTTTTGGGGGGGGGTGAGAATGTAGAAGTGCAGTGGGGTGAAGAAGGATGGGATGAATGGAGCCCTTATGCAATAAGAGTCTCTTATGCATTATTTATCTCCACCTTTGATTGATGGAAAACGCCATTATTCTTTCAACAGACTGAAAATACAGACAGAAAAACATCGAAGAGATTATAAATTGTAATTAGCAACATACTTTTGCTTTTATTTATTGCAAAGGAAATAAAAAAAAACTTTTTTGTAAGACGTGGGGGAAGGGAGAAGAGACACAGATATATTTTTGTATATTTTACAGAGTTTATTCTAGTATGTATTTACAGTTGCAGAGCAAGGAGGTGGTTCTTAAACATAAAACATATATAAATAAAGTATATAATTTTTCATGAGAGACAATGGTGGTGATCTATGGCTTTGCTAATAGACTGAAGATTATTTCTGAGTTGTGACTGATTTAGTAGATGTCCTTTAGGTACAGTCTTGGATGTAAATCCTAAGGAACATAGATTTTTTCTTTTATTTATGTGCTTTGCTAGTAATGCATCATAGATCAGTTCTGAGGTATGCCTTTTTTAGAATCAATGAAATTAATTCCATTATGAATATAACTGCATCCACAAGGGTCTAAAGAAAGTTATGGTTCTTTTGTTTTAAATAAATAGTAATTTTTTTGCTTCTTTATTTAAGTAAAGTATACACCTTACAGTGTAGGCAGGGATAAATATAATGACTGATAGAGGTTTTCACCTCCTGATTCAGAAGGAAAAAAACTTTTTAATTTAAAAAACATTCCTTTAATACAGAAGGAACAATACCATGCTGTTTGCAAGAAAATTAGTAGAGTAATTCTTAAACAAATAGTTAAACCATGTCTGCATGAAATAATCTTCAATACTTCCCTTATATTGATGAAGCATCTATTTGTAAACAAAAAATGAAACTTCTGTATAATCCAAGACTGCAGATGAGAGGTTACACTTGTCTTCCCAACATTGCAAACTGATCTTCTATGCTGTCTGCCATGCTTGATAAAACGATAATTCTTTATATAGTGATCAGTTCTAAGTTTGTGACATATAATTAAGAGCCTTAGCCACAATCGGTTAATATGGGATATTCCAATTCCTTATTCCAGAGTTCTTGTACATAAGTAATATCCAATTTACTAATGCTCCTGGTTTATAAAATACCTATAGACTTAGAAGCAATCAAAACTAAGCCCCATGCTAATAGTAATTCAGGAGCTGTGACAGTGCAAATGCACCTGTAAGAATAGCCTGAACCCCAATCCATGACAGATATTTGGTTATGTTTCACGAGAAAGAGGATATTTGGAATAAATCAGTTCTACACCAAAGGAAATACTATAAATGGATTCAGACAAATTCTTCCTTGTTTATTTCAGTGCTGATGCAACACTTTGCTCCAAAGAAAGTTCTAGTAATGTATTAAGACCTACTCCATAATTTAAGAATTGTGTCTTAAGATAACATTGAAATGGATCCTTTAGATAAGGATCAGGTGGTTACTCTTAGTGAGCTACAATGATACCTGAAAGCAGCTTAAGATTATTCAAAACGTGTTCAAAAGGATATCACTTTGAATTAGTTTCACTGCACTTTTGTAAAGATGCAACGGTATCTGAAGAGTAAAACACACACACACACCCTGTAAAAATACAAGACTGTGGGGTAGGAGTGTGTCATGCAAATATTTTATTATTCATTTGATTTGGAAAGTTGTGACATGCTAAAAATGTAGGTTTCCTTCTTTTTGGATTTGTGGATATACACAAAATCTAAGTTTTTGTCCAGAATTGTTCAGCACTTGATTCTATAAATACAGAGAAATCCACAAAGACACAATCTTTATCATCCTTGAAACACAATCCTATCTATGGCTATTTGGATTCAAGTTTTATTAATGTTCACTTCCAAATAAATGGGTATAGAAACATAAGTTCATAAGAAGCACTAAGTTCCCACAGCAGAGAAATAATGATTTTAACCCTTTTGTTGAACAAAAGTTGCTTTGTTCACATATAGCATTGTGCCATAAATCATGGCTCATAAACCACAATAATTAGCTTCACATATCACACTATGCTCAAACAACATTATGATTTAATATATGATCCAAGTAACTGCATGTGTAAAACAATAGGGATTAAAGCATAATAATACATTCTAGGCACACTTACCTGAGACTAAAACCCACAATAATCAATGGAATTTATTTACACATGCTCAATAAACCTCAACATGTTAAATAAGTTTATATCCAAGTAAGAATGCAGATTTTGTAACATGTTGGCGCAATTTTAAAAAGAGGTGGAAAAATCCATTCCATGTTGTTATTGGCTAAAAACAATGATCAAGCCATTTGGTCTTGTGGTGAAGGCATCAGACTAGAAGCCAGGAGACTGTGATAGCTGGATGGGTGACTTTTGGCCAGTCACTCTCTCCAACCCACTTCCCAGGATTGTTGTTGTGAGGAACATTGGAGGAAGAAGGAGTGTTAAGTATGTTTTCCACCTTCAGTTTGTTTATAAAAATAATAAAGGTGGGATATCAATAAATAAATTTTGAGTACAGTGCTTATTTCTTTCCTGGATTTATATCCCATTGGTCAACTAGCCAAGATCATTTCAAAAAATAAAATCTTCAATTTAATTTCAAATACAGTTTAAAACAAAACACTTTCCAAATATAAAAGACAATAATTGCTCAGATCAACCAGATCAGCCCTTCAGACACAGCCTGCATTTTTAATATCCATTAAACAGTAATAAAAAACCCAAGGGGCAAAATTTAAAGTTGGGTTGGCATTAAATTGCAAAGTCTGGAGTCCAGTCCAGTTGAGAACAGAAATGTGGTATTTTGCTTGCTTGTAGTTTAGCATCTTGTGTAAACCAATATAGCAAGCAATGTGGTTTAGTGTTTAGTGAGTTTGGAGACTTGTGAGGCTAGCAAACCATGATAAGATACTGTAAAGCATCAGCATGATACACAAGACAAGGGCTGGCTGGATGCTTCACAGACAGGTAATTCTCCAGCTGTCTAGTGGGAGCCAGCCAAAATGAAAAAGCAGTATGGATGGGGCAGGGCAGAGGAAGAGGCTTTTCGCCTGCCTATTTTCACTCAACTTTATCCATTTGTAATGGGCTGAGTGACAGTCGGCAGACGCGCATCATGGGAGCCTTGTCTCAGCACGTGTAATGTGCCTGGGGGGGGGAGCCCACCCCTTGCAGGAGACAGCCAGGGCTATCGCCCAGCAGCCATAACTGAGGGGGACCCAAAGGGCAGAAAGAATAAACTCCTTTACTATGAGGAAGTGAGAGTGAGAGTCTTGGAGGCAGTGTACTTGCCTCAGCCAGCCCAGGGTTCCATATATACATGGTTGTGATATTAAATGGGCATGTTGAGTTAAATGCGCATTTTTCTCTTATTTTTCCCTCCTTCTGGTCTACTGAAGCAGAAAACACTGCATATGCATCTCACATCTGAGCAAAGTTTAGAATTATATATTAAATGGAGGTTCTTATCCAGCAATTGTCTATGGAGACTTTCAATCATCCACATCATGGTTGTCCCAAAAGTGTTTTTCAGTTCGAAGAACTGAAGAAGCTTCTTGGATGAGAAGCAAAACACTTTCAAGGAAAAAAAATCAAGAAAGTCCAGCTGCCTTTTGGAAAAGCACCTTTGGGTTTTCCAGCAATTCTGTGTTCATGCACTGCATTAAGCAATGTATGGTATTTTAATCCAAACTGACTGGGATGGCAGAAGAGAGGAAATCACAAGTTAGAAATCAGAATAGCTGAATTTACCCATCACATTTTCTTCACTAGTGGTTTGCAGAGTCCTCCAGAATGATCCATCCATTATTGTTCAGATGTAACAATAAAGAAGATTGGCTTTATATTGCCCCATTAATAGTAAAGTCATTGTTTCTTAATCCCACCCTTAATTGATTCCTTTGAGTCACCACTGGGGATGGGCCCCAAAACTAATCTTAGGTTGAGATGTGCTCTAGTTCTGCATATACTTGGCAATGAAGACTTTTTTCTTGGTATTTTAATATTTGTATTAACTAAAATAATAAATAAATAAATAAAAATCTACCTTAGAAAGATTCCAGGTAACTTTATCACATCACAATACAATAAATGCAAAGTATCTCTAGTCTAGAGAAATTTGATTCCTATTGACTAGGAATCAACTGTTTCCTTCATCGATAAAATGAGAGCCGTTTGTTGTAACCTTCTTCTGGGATGTTTTTTTCCATTTCACATTTTGGGCAAGACAAGAGTAGCCCAGCAATTTGTATCTGTGTTATCATTTCATGGGTAACTAGTAGG